CCAAAAAAATAAGATGAACAGTAACATGCTCAGACAAGGTAATTAATAGATTAACTCAGAGAGAGAGAGAGAGAGAGAGAGAGAGAGAGAGAGCTCTCTTACGTTAACCATCCAGTATTGCTAAAAGTGTGAAAAACAATATTCTTCCCATGCTCATCCTCTAACCAATCAGCCAGATGCTTCACAAGTGACTCTATATCCTGCTCTGCTTTCCCTCCAACCTGGTAAGTCATAATCTTGGCCATGGGGAAGGTGAAGGTGATAGCATGAAATCCCATTGAAGTGTACCACTCCGCATATTTCTTCAAATGCTTCTGCTTTGCTCCCAACCAGCCCAATAGCACCACAACTGTCCTTTGCTTTTCTGAAGAACAATCTGAAAACCCCGAAATGTCTAGAGAATGCGGTTCAGGTAAATGCCATCTGTACAGAACATCAGAAGCCGAAGCCGAAGCCGAGGTAGGGAGTGATCTCGCAGATGTGTTAGGCTTCGGACCTTTCATCAACTCCGCAGATTGATACAAATTTACTAAGGTCGGAGAAGCCACAACAAAAGAGCACAAGAGATTTGCATTAAGATTGTGACCCAAATGAGGAAATCGATCCTTGGTGTTGGGAAGAGGTATTCGGATTCTGCTCACAAATGACAAACTCGAAAGCTTCGAGACTGATATTTGGGAAACCCATGATGAATCTGAGTCGTGTGGTGCATTAGATGTACACGAAGAGTCGAGCTGTTCAGGATTGGAACAAGTGACCGATGATTTCGAAGGAGATAATTTCTCAGGTAGGTCAGCTGTGACGGATGCTGCGGCAACTGCGGCGGCTGCCACAAGAGGGCGTTGAAAGATCCCGGACAACGAACCCATCAGGTAAATGTAGCTCAAATTCTATTATGCCAATCCAAAGGTACCCCAATCACACAAGCAAAAGAATTATAGTAATAATGCCAAGACAGTCAGGTTGCTCTGAACCAAGAAAGCCCAGAAATAAGATTGACCTGCAAGAATTACGAAAGACCACCGATGTAGCAGGAATAAAGGGACCCGAATCCAAAGAAGAGAACCCGGCGACAAATCAAGATACAAAATGGGAACTTTCTATTTGACCTGGCAACAATTCAAATCCTCGCCTGCTTATAATACGCATGCTCTGGGTTGGTGCTGTTCAAGGAAACCGGGCTGTCAAATGTGGATTGACAGCCCGCGCATGATGAACTAGTAAGACCCCCACCGACCAGGAACGCTTCTTTGACGGTCAAAGCCTCCCCTGCTTAGAGAAAGGCAGCTGCAACGAACAAGAGGAACACGGCAAGAGATTAAACAAACAAAAAGAGAAGGGTCAATTCGATGCAGTTCACTAAAAAAAGATTTAAGAAGAATAAAGCGACCAATCAAAACGAGGAAGCCATCTATAAATGGGCCAAAGAAAGGATCAAAATATGATATTGCTGAGTATGACCAGTGGGTCATAAAGGACACACGAAAGCGGTTGAGTGGCGATCACGCTCCGATGATATAGGAGCCCATACACATCAGAACCGACGAGCATAATTGAAAAGAGACAACCACGATCATGTGAAAGGTCGAAAAGGGGCAAAACCGGAAAAGGCGACGGACGGGTCGGTGACGCGTGTCCGAATTACCTTTCTGCCCCCCCACCCCCACCACCGGAGTCCAAAACGAGTCGTACGGGTCTCGCAAAAGACTCCGATCGCGGGCACGCAATCCCTTCCTCCTTCCTGATCAAATTTTTGAACCCCCCGGAATTCCCCAAAAAAAAAAAAACACCGAAACTCCTCCCCCTCCATCGCGAGGAGCGATCCGAACTCGACTGCGAGTGCGCGAAATCTGCGGCACTAAGCACATCTAGAAACCGCATTCCAGCTTTCAAGGCCTCATCCTTCGTGAATTTGCAATCGCAAAACGCATTGTTTGAAATCAAATTCATTGGGAATTTCTAACGGGAAGCTCGAGCTTCTCACGTAACAAGGGAAAGGGAAAAAATAAAAAAGACTACTTTTTGGCCATCGAAGGAGGGCCATTGCCCACAAGATCGAAGGCTCGCCGAAACTCAATTCAAACAAAGCGGAAAACCCGACGCGCCCCCGCTCCCAAGGATGAAGGACGCGGAGAGAAAGAAAGAGGAGCTCCGGCAATGGGGCACCGATGGCGGAAAAACACGAAACCCAACCAAAAGCGCCGAAACCAAAACCGAACGCACCTGGACGAAGGGGGGAGGGGGGACGGCGGCGACGCCGCGGGTCTCCTTCTCCGGTCCAAGAGCACGGCGGCGAGCGGAGGAGAGAGGGGGAGGCGACCGGAGGGAGACGGAGAGACGGAGAATCTCTCCTTGGTTTCGGGAGAGAGGGGAGTAACTCCGGGTTTCTCTTCGTATTTATTTTTGCGCTTTTGGGGGGGGGGTCCCTAAAATCGCTCGCGCGTTTAAATTGATGCGTTTATTTTTGGGTTTTTTTTTCCTTTTTTCTTTTTCTTTTTTTTCCGAGTGCGAGGTCGCATGCTTGCTTCGCGTGCCTTTTATGCGAATCCCCCCCCTCGATATTCGCACGAAATCCTCGCCCGACATTTGATTTGCACTAATTTCGCCTCATTTAACTTCTCTTTTCTTGGGTCTGGCCAAAAAAAAAAAAAAACAAGTCTTTTTTTTTGGGGGGGGGATGGAGCACGCGTCTTTTCCAAAATTCGAACCGATCCATCTGACCTGAATATTTTTTAATATTAATCATCCTTTTAATTGAATTTGAGATTTCATTTGTGGGACAAGACATGCATTTTCGCGCCCCGTACGAATAACTCAGAATGGAACGCGAGATATGGTTTAAATATTATACGAATTGTTGAAAGCATGGCTTTCTTAAGGATTTACGTTTTGTTTTTTTCCTGACTATATACATGGACCATTGGATAAAACTACGGCCACGATACGAATTTATAAATTAAGATGGAATGGAGATATACTAATTGAGAATCACCCTGAACAAGAAACATTTACCACGTGATCTGAATTTAAAACTAAAAACTTCCTCTTCGTAGCTCTTCTAATCTCTCAAATTGTACGATGATGATTGGAGAATCACCCTGAACAAGAAACATTTACCACGTGATCTGAATTTAAAACTAAAAACTTCCTCTTCGTAGCTCTTCTAATCTCTCAAATTGTACGATGATGATTGGATATTACCAACGCGGAATGCAAGAATCGGTAACGGATCGATGCTGTGTAAGAGCTCTTTTTTAACTCTGTCTTCCTCCTGTGATGTGGAATCGACATACGCAAGTTCCGAGAATATCCTTCGGACATGCTCGTAGAAAAGGAATAGGAATGGACGACATATAATTAATATTCATATTCAAAGGTGGTTGGGGTCCCTGAAAGTCTCCATGCGGCGGAGCAATTGCCCATGATTCTTACATGTCGCTTTCTGTAAATGGACAGAATCCGGTAGCATTGAACTGTGGCCCATCAAGCCTTTCCATTTCAAAGCGCATGTACTGTCTCCAGAATACACCCAAGCATCAATGCCCACCCACAACTTGTCCCCATCTTTACTCTCACCGACTTTTTCTTCTGGATTAGTATTTGATCATGGAACCGAACCCAGATCGCCGAAAGCCGAAAGGCCTGCTTCAAAAATTGGATGGGTAAAAGAAATTCTTCAGTTGAATATGGAAACAAATGAGAACCTAGCTTTTCCTAATTCGCAGTAGAGGACATTCGAGCAGAAGTGGCCCCCAAAGAGATCACATCTCATCCTCCGGTACTTTCCCTGTCAGCATCTTTAATATGAGAATTCTGGGGGTTCGATGTCACCGCACTGCCGCGCAGATTATTGTCATTCTTGCAATGCAATGGCATTAAGAAAACATGAGAGAGAGAGAGAGAGAAACTTTGGCCTTAACCCTCTGTTTCTAGACTTACATGACTTGGACGGGTTTCTAAAAGAAAACCTAGAAAGTTCCCATCCTTATAGTGATAACATGATTTGGTAAAAGGCAAGTAGCCAGTTTCATCTATAACATCTACAAAAGGAAGAAGAATTTGCATAGTTCAAGCAAACACAACAAACCTTTTTTGGAATGTAAAGGTCGAATCGATCAGGCTGACGTAGCTTGACACTCCAAACTCAGTTTAGCCATCTCTACATCACACTCGAATGTGCATACTTTGGTTTTGCTGGTCAACCTGGTTAACAGGCAAAGAATAATGATATGGTGCATTTCAAAGAAGTTTTCTCAAAATTGAATTTGCTACAGCACCCTTTGAAGCTAAATATGTCACGACTATAGCTTCCACTTAAAAGGATGCCTTCACCTACATGGTGTGTCTTAACAAGTCACAGCCCAAGCCCCCATTTTATAGACTGCAAAATAAGTTTATCAAACTAACATTTAAGAGCTCACAATCGCCAAACGCTAGTTAAAAAATAATTGATCTGTTGAAAGGAAACAGAATGATGTTAAGGAAATTGCATTCAAAAATTATGTTTTATGTCGAAGCATCTGAAGAGAAAAATGTGATATAAGCACATTCGCTAACTCATAGGCAGGTAACCGACCAAAAAAAAAAACACTCAGAAGCAGGTCTATTAAAATGACTGAATGAGTAATGAGAGACAGAACAATGAGCAAGTTTACAGACAGGACCAATGCTACAAGGTAAAATCATCAAACACTAAGCTTAGAGTACAATTTGAATTGAATTTTGACTGAACAAGTAAATTGTAGATTACCCACCGATTCTCTTGAGGGTCACATCCACCGTTGACATTTTTCCTGAATCCCCGTGCATGCACATTGAAGGAGATATTACTCCATCAAATGGCATATGTTCGCTCTGATGATGAAGGTTCATATTTTGTGAAATCGGAGTAAAGTAGTAAAGAGACAGATCATATTTGCCCCTAAAACGACGAGCAGCCCTTGATAGCTTTCATGTCTATAGAGAGTAAATCACCACCGAACATGGCAGAACACTCAAACTTTACTAAAAAGAGAGAATCACCGGCCATATATTATACGCGTAGTCAGACTCTTGAATCACCAAATTCAATACGCAAGAGCTGAAAGTTGGGAGTACCAAAATCATTACATACACCTGTTTCATCCATTTGCACATGGATAGTTGTTGTGTCTATAACTACTCTACATGGTACTAAGTTTTCCTGACCAATGACAACGAAACAATTATCGTATGTTCCATCTTTTGGGGCAAGATTTAATAAACAGGATTTGGGAGCCGAAATACTATGTTTTTGGCCACCAAATCCTTCTTGACCAAATCCTTCTTGACCCTCAGTCTTTATAACAAGACGATGACGGCGACCCAAGAGCTCAGACACATAGTTCATATCTCCCGCAGCAAGTGCATGCCGTACACGGGTGGATGAGACTTGTCCTCTCTCTTTTAAATCGCTGGCATCCATGTGGCTGAATTCTTGGTTCTTGTCCATTACAGACTTTATTATAAAAGCACCCATACCACATTCCTGACACAGCTTTGCTAATTCCAATGTATCACCAGCAGCTTTATATCCAAACCGGTAATTTTCACCTGGCATAAGCACCAAAGCAAACTCAACTAAAATGAAGCGAGAAGAAACCTACATGACCTTACAAGGTCTGAAGTCTGGAGTCTCTTGACCCAAGATGGAAAAAAGGGATAAAGGCTATCCTCTGTAATTGCAAAATAAATAGTACCTGCCACAACTCCTCGCACGCCTAGCTCCTTAGACAGCTTCTCAACAAACTGTTCAGGGCTGAGATATCGGACAGTTGAAAATTCTATTTGAAACTCTATAGGGACGACATTGCCACAGTATGATGCCCACGATGACAAAACCCGCCGCCGATCAGACTGGGCAACTATAGGTACCCTACTTGAGAAACATATATACCATGTGAAATCTTCATTTAGAAGTTGCATTTGTATTTATAGCCATATAAACAGCGAGCAGACAATAAAAACACTTCGTCTGCAAAATATCGCTAGCCTTGAAGTTTGATGACAGGGAGCAATGAGATCAAAAGGAAATGAAGATGCAAAGAAGATCATATAAATTGCAAAGTTCAAAAAATGCTAGAAAGTAAGCAAAAACGATAACTCAAGCGGAAAGCAGAATTCAAGGAAACAATGACGACTATTAGCCACTATAGTTCAAAATCCAATAACAATTAGCAATTCAGAGAGCCTCCTCTTACTTCATCTATAATGATGATGTTTCACAAATTCACCAGAAAAGGCATGGTGCGTGGCTAAGAATTTTTGTGCCATTCCTAAGCCAAAAAGTACATCCTATAGTGCTAGGTTTGTCTACTCGGATGACCAAAGTCCATAAAGGGTATTCATTTCATTTCATGGCACTAACAGCTGCCCTTCAACATATACCAATTTCCTTATCATACATGCTCAAGTGTAAATTGTGCAAGAGGACTCTATGAGATCAAACATACATGAATCACCTGGAAAACTGATAACTTCCCAATAAGCTGACCAAATGGCTCTTAAGAAAGAGAAAATCAATTTCATAAAAATTAACGAGTGAAGAAGAAGAAGAAAATAATCACATCTAGCCATATTTACACAAAATTTTCCTTTCCCAGGTATGTGCGAACATTCCAATTACCATAAGCTGATAAAAGATAGGCTAATGAGAAATATTAGAACAAGATAATATGAAGAAGAGAGACCACAGAAAATTTACAGAGGCATAGTTTCCCACCTAGGTTCCCAACCAAGTACCTCAGCCATTCCTACAAAGGACAAAAGGAATGGCGTTCCAACTTTTGATGCTTGAACGGCAAGTTCTCGATGACCAATGTGAAGCGCATCAAACTTTCCAAGAGCCACTACACCTCCTTTTACAATGAATGACAACAAAATCAATGCACTGTATGAATACCGAGTGCATAAATCAAGAAATCAAAGAAAACTTAAAAAATCTCCATGAAACAGGTAGGCGACAAGCAAAATGAAGACGATGGCACTTGCAAATGTTTATAGTTACAAAATATCAAGAAAGCTAACCAGAGGTGGCTTCACGGATAACTTCTAAAAAAACATAAGGTAAGGAGTGAAAATTAACATTTTTCCCTTTTACTTCTCCTTTCAGCTAAGAGCCTAATTCAACATACATGTTTGTGGAATATTAATCATGCACGAAAAGGTGAAAGTTTTACAAATCAGAGGAACTGAGAAGGCATACTGTCTGTGTGCAGTTGAAGAATTTCTCGGTTTGAAGTTTGACGGTACACTCGGTTCGGCAACATTTGCTGTGATATTTACATGATATTAAGGCGAAAAGTAGAATACCAATGGCAATTCACCAACACTAATAAACAAGAAGCAGATGGGGTCATGCGGTCTTCTATGGTACATCAGGAAAAGAACATACTGACTTAAAATCATTCTTTTTTCTTCCTTTTATCAGATAAAGGGAAGTAGATGAATCGGCGGCCAAAGTACATTAACTAGGGTTGGTCATGGTTCAATTTGGTTTGGTTTGGTTTGGTTTGGAGGTATTTTCAGCCCATACCGAACTTACCGGTTTGGAAAAATCTCAACCCAAACCAAATCCAAACCAATAGAATCACAACTTACACCAAACTAATAACTTCGGCTTGTCATCGGTTTGGTTCGGTTTCAAAACCGATAAATCAAACTTATCGGTTTGGTTCGGCTCGGTTTCTCAGTTTTTGGTTTTCTAGGAACACCCCTAACATTAACCATTATTAATTGCTGTCATCTTTTAATCTGGCGGCCAAGAGAAATGCGAAAGAAAATGGCCATTCCCAGTTGCCCAGGTTAGCTAGTAATTTTAATGGACGTGTGTCTTCAAAGAACGGTAAGCTGAAGAACGACATTGGCCAACTGCTGACAAAATAGAGAGAGGTACAAAGGACAGAGAATCGAAAGAACCTGGCTGACGAAGACGATACTGATGCTAATGTTCTTCGGTAAACGGAATCAACATTCAACTTCAAGCAGTGTGCAGTAACAATAAACAGGACTACTCATTGAAATGAACCACCGAAAAGCACGAACAGTGGGAAATTGCTGGGAGCAAAAAATAAGGAAACCTGCCACCAAGGACGACCCTTCAGAGACAGGCTCGCGAGCATTTTCCTGTTGGCTGCGCAAAGAGAGGCAAAAGGAAGAAAATCCCAACCTCAGCCCAACAAGCAATACCAACATAAAGCTCCACTCAAGCAAGGACACGCGCTCGCAGGTGAAGACAGAAAGCAGGAAGGATTACGCGAATTCGCAAAAGTCGGTGAATGCAGCTCGAAACAAGCTCAAAGTATACCCAATCACAACAACCGAGAGCGAGTAAAGCAGATTAAAAGTACAGAAAAACCCAATACACGCTCGAGCGAGTTTCCAGAACCTGAAACAATCGGAGAGAATGGGGACGCCACCGCGCGATTGGGAGGGGCCGCCGGAGCAGGAGGAGCTCGGTCGGGTCTGCGACCGGCGGCCGCCGTCCCCGGAGGCCGCGGCGGGGGGCTTCGGCACGAGGGGCGAGAGCTGGACGATCCTGGCGCCGCAAGGCCCGAGCCCGAGCCCGAGCCCGAGCCCCAGACCCGGGTGGCGGCGGCGGCGGGGATCGCACACCCAGAGGTGGTGCGAGACGCGACAGCCGCTCGCCAGCATCGTCGTCGCCGCCGCCCGCTAAGAAGCAAAGCACGGAAGGGAAGGAGGAGTGCCTTTCATATTTCCACGCGGCTGCGCTTCGCTTTTTGAACTGTTGGCCGTTTTTGGTTTGGGGCTGATCTTGTGTTCCGGGCACTTTTTGAGCCACGTCATCGCTGAGGCCCCTCTCGTGAAATTGAGCGACGAACCTTACATGCGGTACCTCGAACGAAAGGACAGGACATCATGGGACTTGCATCATCTTTGCCCGGGATTGTAATTGGCCTTTTGCCCATCGCATTCAGGTAACGATAGAAGGAGACTTCGATTTGATCCGACCCGGTCGATTCATTGAACATCTATGTAAGATTTATAAGGTTCACGGGTCGATCGCGATCTTCATCTCATCAAGCTCGAGTTACGGATGGCCTAGGCTCGTGAAAAAGGAGTCTTGGCAGCGGAGATGCGTCTTCTCCTCGTCCCCGTCCCATGTGCTCTATCATCTTGGTTTCCTTACCTCACTTTTCATCCTCTCCAAGTTTGGTCAAAACCGCAATCAGCTCTCGTCTAATCCAAGCATCACGACAGTCGAAACGCTAGTTTTCGACCAACGCGAGATCTCATCAAAAGCTAAAAGAAAGATCAAACATCATGAGAAGTTCAGTGCATGTATAAATTGACTGAATCACTGCCGCAGCTTGAAGCTTCAACACCACCACTTCCAAAAGGCACTCGAGTATTGACAGAATCAGAATACGATTCATCAGCATCGCACACCAAACTTCAACAGTTTCGCCGTTGAATATCTCGAGAGACCGACTTAACAATTCAAACTTTACTTGATCGCCCTGATGATAAACAGGACCCGCGGTCGAAACTAAATTACTCACATCTACCAAATTTGATCTTTTAGAAATGATGTACATCTTGGTTTCACCGCGCTCTCCCAAGTAGCTCGCAAAAACATTCTCACAATCTCTATGCATCGATCTGATCTCGATTCACAAATATAAGGGACTAATAGGTGAACAATATCAAATGAAATAAACAAAATGATATCAGTTGATTCTGGAACTGTTTCTTCTTCCCCACCATTTCTTCTTTACCCTGTCAGCAGCACCTTCATCGCTTCCAAGCTTATGCAAAATCACCTTTGTTTCCCGCAATCTCGACCCGTAATCCTTCTTCCAAGCTTCAAACATCTGCTTAAGCCTTCTAAGCTCCCTGTCGGGGTTCAGACTCGCGTCGACTTGACCTGACTTTACCTCCACAAGGAACTTTGCATCGTCACCAAACACTTGACTCCGCTGCTCGAATTCTTCAGCCAACCGGCTTATGACACTAAGGCCAGCGCTCATCGGTCTCATGCCGTTACTGTCTTGGCCCTTGTAACTACTTCCGGTATCCCAATTGAAGTCTTTATCGTCACTATTATTGACTGAAGCATCAGAGTTTCTCGCAGAATCATCAATGGCCAGGCTTTTCTTAGCAATTGAAAGGCTGGATTGCAGAGATCGCATTTGTTTCTGCCACACTTCTTCCATGGACTTCATTTTTAACTCGTATTCAGACCAGCGGCTTTCATATTGTTGTAGACGTTGATGAAGGATGTCGTTTTCCTCCTCTTTTTCTCTCAAAGCAGCCTCAGCTCTAAGGACACGACGCTGCAACTCAGCAAGGTAAGATGCCTTCACAAGCACCTCTTCTGGTTCACCACCCTGTTTAAAAGCTCGGGGTTATTTACCAGCCAAAAGAATTAACTTTTTGAGAGCTAAACAGGAAAAAGAGCAAATGTGAGAGTAAGATATACTTTAGATGCAGCAGCAAAACTTAATTGTCCAAGAACAAGAAAAGTACTAATCAAGGATATTAATTCGATCTACTTGAGGAGCTTTTTTAGTACTCCTGACCTACGTTAGCCCACAATGATCTAATGGTTCATGGAAAGTGGGCAACATAGGCCAAGAGTCTATAATTTTCACTACTTTGAGACACGTTTTTTTTGGTACGTATACTTGGATGCTGTCCTCATATTTAGCACATTTTGCATGCTTTTCTTAGGCAAGATCCTCGTTTCCTTTATTTTCTCTCTTGGTTATTCGCATCCATGAAAAATTGAGGATAAATACTTACGACAGAACACATCAGAAAGACAGCTGCACCTTAAAAGGGACATGCAAAAGGACTTTGCAAATCACTAAACTGGCTTAATCACCAAACCTTGCATTAAGGCTAATTATGTTAAACAAGACAAGAAAGTATCAAGAAAAATATCTCATATGACATTGAATCAATCATCAACCAAAAAGTAAAATTAAATCACAAAATACCTTCATCCCAGATTTCAGGAATCCTATGTCACCTGAGCATCTTCTGACCAACCAGCCACGGATACCTATAAAAACAAGATATGTAGATAGTAAGTGGGAATTTCTAAGTGGCCCAAATTTGTAGGACTCTTGATTAGGACAGGCCCATTTTACTGGAATATTTGGAGACATGCAGGATATTTGATGCAAAAGAAACATGTTCCTCTAGTAGAATAGCAAGAGAAAATGAGAAGTGAAGAAAGAAAAGGAAAAAAAACTGGGATAGACATGACGAAGCTCAAGTCATTTTTCCCATCCAGCCAAGTTCAAGATACGTATATCAAACTCAAAGCAAGTGTTTGGATTTTACCTGATTGTATCATGACCGATGAATCACAAAGTTTATCGTATTTTTTCATGGCTATCCTGCCTTTAGCCCTTTTTTGTATAGTAACTGCAGCTCTATGCCTCTTTATTAAGACAGCATATTCCTTCCGAACTTTCTGCCCACGAGCAACTGCATTAACAGTGCAAATCAGACACCAAGCGCAGTAACACTAGTGACTTCCTTCAAAAAAAAAAAAAAAAGCAATCTAATATTTAAGAGGAGGGAATAATACATGATTGAAGAGTCACAATCCCCTTCTTAAGCTTCCTCATGTGAAGACGAGCTTGATGCCCTCTAAAGCAACTCTGAACACGTAAAATTCCATGCAGGGTACGGTTTCTAGTATCCTCAAGGACCCCAATCTGCATCAACAATTCGTACTTAACGTGTTAATACCAAATCACTGAGACGCAGAAACATTGCAGAGCTGTGGAAACCAGCCAAAGCATAAATTGGACAGTTATGGAATTTCTGCCAATATTACAAGAGAATGAACATGAAAGTATGGGATATATGAATTAAGACAAAAAATAGGGGAAGCTAGGAGGAGATGCGAATTCAAAACTCATTGGTCATGTTACATAGATGTCGATACAAGTACTAGATCAAAAGATTTCAATTGAGATATCAAGATTTCCAGTTCATCAAACATCTCCTATGTGTACAGTTCAAGAGAAACATGAAACCTATAAATGAGTAATTACCCACATTACAAGTCATTTCCACTTAAAACACAATCGACTAACAAAAAGATTGAGGAATAGAGACCAACAATTTCACATTTTAGAATTTGTATGATTCAAAGCCATAAGGCATTACCTTACCAAAAAAAAAAAAAGCCATAAGGCATTATTAGGTATCATAGGGAAGTCACTCTAAAAGATCTTGGCGTAAAATAAACTGAAGAACATTTTCAGGGGATAGTAACAAGCTATCCAAGCCCGGAAGTTGGCGTTAAATAGTCACTCTAAAAGATCTGGCTTTCAATAGCATACTATTGCATGTTCAAATACATGTGTATTTTAATTCACATTAAGATAAACCGAAGAGCCTTCAGAAGAAAATTTATCTGCCCATCGTACTGTAATTGAGGGAGAGAATAATTGAGCTGAGAGACAGAGGGAAGAGTACTCTTCAGACCTGGCCGGTTCGGAAAAATAATTTTGTATAGCCAACTTGGTACATCTCAGGCAAAATGTTGAATTGATGAAGAATGGCAACTGAAACACTGAGTGAATCCTGAGAAGCCACATCATCCGAAAGAAGGAAACCATATCTGCAGAAGGACAACCAAAACAATCAAACATGAAAAATACCGATGAAAAATGAAAAACAAAGATGATAGACAGATGAGAATTGTTAACGAGTTTGATGCGCATCGAACCCAAAAAATTACCTCCTCGCAAATTTTTGGTGAGACATTCTGGTAGGAAAGCCAGACCTGGAAATTCGAACAACTTCTAGGACTCCACAACATCTTAACTGCTGCAGTACAAGACCTTGCTCATATTTTCCAGGAGACTGGAAATTATTGGGCTTAATACAACGTATGAAGTGTGGAGTGGTGCTCTCAAGGCGTTTCATTAATTGAAAAAGTTGACCCTGTAAAGAAGGGATCAGCACATTGAATTATCTGAAATGGATGAATCTAGTCATAAGTACTCAGATCACCAATCTCTAAGCAAGAAGTAACTCCAATGACTCATATTTCGAAGTCAAAACATCCTTCTTTCCATGTCACATTATCCAATTTTTCCTTTTAATTAGTACAAATCATATTAAGAAGAAATGAATTACATAGGTTTTAACACAGAATAACGGAGCATGAAACACAGCTGTATAGGGCAAAAAGAAATCGAATAGCTTTAGTTATAGTTTATTCCAATGATGGCTCAGCTTTTTCTCCTGAAAATTCTATTAAAGCTCAAGCCTCAAAGACACACATTGACCCTATTATAGGTTCTCATCAGAACTGGATGTTTCACCATTTTCGCAGTTTTAACAACAGCAGTCTGTTATTTCCTATCTGAAGCAATTATTTAGTGAAGCATAACTTTCCAACAATTACAGCTGAATTAGCCATTGAAAGACTTAAGCTTGCCTACAATTAATTACAACTTATTAACAAACTCTTTTGCCCATGCTTAGCAGTGGAATGGCATAAGTTTTTGGGAATATGCTAGGAAGCAAATTGATTCTCAAAGAATCGACAGTGCTTCAGGAGCTTCCTGCAATTATCTGCTTGAATTTATCAATACACTTTAAGAAATCAACATAGCCTTATATGATTTCCACTTGCCTAAGATTTTCTTGCATAAGCTTGTGAAGCTCGGCACAATAATTTATCTTGTTTCAATCGAAACAAAGCATAGCAAGGTAAAGAAAGTTGAAGTCTCAATGAATTTGACAAGAAATGCTAAGCCAGATACAGAATGCAGCACTTCAAAATTTATCCAAAGAAAAAAACTCAATGCATCCTCGCTAAACATATAAAAGTGTAGGTCAATGCACTAAAGGCCATGGCCTAACATACACTGGAGCCCACCGTGACAAGATGCAGCTTCCAGTCAGA